AAAAAAAAAAAAAAAAAAAAAAAAAAAAAAAAAAAAAAAAAAAAAAAAAAAAAATCGCTCTACCCAGCACGGTCTGCACCTGTGTCTCTCAACAGGGTGTTACCCTGGAAGCTTGATAATGGTCATTTAATAGTCAACATTTCACTCCTGACTCCTTGTGCTGTTTAGCAAAAACAAACACTCTCAGACAACCTTGCCCCATATCCTCCTTGGTTAATAAGACTGTATATTCTATTCAATGTACAGGATTTTGTATGGAAATTATTCCATTAGGTATTTGATAGTCTACTATAAATGAACTTCTTACACAAGTACAACCATTAGCTCCATTTAAAGTTCTAAATTACTCCAGTTACCTAGGTGACTACATTAAAATCCAGATTTTATTCTAATCTCAATATAATTAAGTGAACGTGTAGCTTACAACCACCACGTACAAAGCCTTTCCCTCCATTTTACAGTAAGTCAAGTGTTAGTGGCCTGTGTTGTGAGGCCCAGGTTCTACTAGCTGCCACTCTGACCTCCGAGTAACATGCACACTCTGCTCTAAATCCTGTATTTAAGGAATGTAATATATAGTAAAATATAGAATGTAACAGACACAATAAAAATTAAAATTCTAACAGAAAACAAACTTCAGTGAAATTGAGGGCTTATCTGCATGGGGTAGTTAAGCTGGAATAAGACAAGGTATGGATATTAAACCCAATAATTTTCACAAAACTCCTCTATGTCAACATGTTTATTCTAGAATAAGCATATTCATGTGTGGAAATATGCCTGAATACTTATTGCAAAATAACTTATTCTTCAGTAGCTATCCCGAACAATTTTCCTGTTTAGACAAACTCCAAAAAGCAACAGCCAAAAGGAACAGCAGCAAAAAAAAAAAAAAAAATCACAGATCTTGTATTATGGGGGTGTACCTACCAAAACCAAAATACCCTCTTAAAATAAATAAGGAATATAGCAACTAAGTTACAGAGATTGCATGCCATTTTCTATGTTTCTGAAAGCTCCCTACAGAGAAGTAGCTATTTTTATAGACTGTAAGAAACATCAAAATAAATCATACAAACCTGATATATGGGTTTTTCCTTGCCAAGCCAAGTATATATAGAGATTTCCAAAAAACAAGCTGCGGACATCAGAGGACGGAACACAGGAATTCGGTATTTATTATGATAATGTAACATTTATAAAGAATAAATTATAAATAAATTTTAAATACAACGTATAAGGCACAGCTGTGAAAAAGGGCTAGACGGAACCTTTCTTCATACTGTTTCACTGCTAACCCTACGGCAATAATTTAAAATTAAATTGAGGATTCCCTTTCATGAGGCTACTCTATTTGTTGCAAGAATCCAAGATAACATAAGAGTACAGAGGGGACAAACTCAGATTATGGGTTACCCTCTGCAACATTTGGGGGCTGGAGAGGTGAAAGAGCAGCTGACCCAAAGCTGCAGAGATCAGTCTTGCAGGGCTTCTTCCAAGGGGCCATTCTTGTTGCTTGAGGCCTGTTTGGACAATGCTGGACTGGTTGGTGATCACCCAGGGAAATTCTGAGTGTCTAAAGATAAGTTCCTGAACATGTAGTGATTCTGAACAGTGATTCACTACAGCCCTAGAATAAAAAAAGTTTCCTTCACAGCAGACAATACATTTTACTCATGCTGAAATAGCATCAGTTGTGCTTCTGGAAACTACGACAAAATGGTGCTTTTCTAATCCCTGAATCTGCTGCTCAATGCAATCTACAATGATCACCAATATATATTCTGGACATGAGATATTTTGGCTTCTCTCCTAACAGGCATATGCCTCAAGGCTTATGTTTCTATACCAAACAGTGGGGATGTTAGCACACCAGAAGGAGAGGCCTGCAGTATTTAACTTCTGTTTATTATTAAGAATTGCACAGCACTAAACAGAAATGTCATCTCCAGCTTTTCCTTCTGTTTCATAGCCTGTGAGCATCACTGAAGTATTTTCTCAGAATAAAATGTCCCTTGCATGCTCACTGTACAAACAGCAAGAATGAGCATGAACAAATGGATCAATTTAACCAAGGAAAAATTACCTGAACTGTAGAAGTGCCCAGAATACTCCACTGTTTCTCCCAATGGTGTTTTCATCTGAATTTATTGTTAGGCAACTTCCCTGTGCAGTCCAAAGTACTAGAATTCAAGCAAAAAGTTACTTTTACTTATTGTTGAGCATCTGAGAGATATATGTGAATGTAGTAAAGAAAAGCAAGCAGATACAGAATAACTACAATACTTACCAGCAGCTGCTATCCCAATGAAAACAGAAGCAGTGTAGAAGGCCCACGTGAAAGGCTGGATAAAAACCGCAATGTATGCACTAAAATATAACAGGTCAGTTTATTATATACATACTAGATGTGGACAATATCCAGTGTATTATGCTCTTTAAAAATTACATATGCCGCTAACTATCCTCTAAGCTAGTTTTGAAAATAATCCAAAGTTTAAGAGGCAAAACAGTTGATTATGCTAAAGATATACTGATACTTCTTTAATGGAATCATTAAACTGAGACCAGTGGTTAGTTCTTTACTCCAAGGTCAGCCAACCCTGACAATGCTATGGAAACAGCAAGCTCAGTTTCTGGTAGGAGGGACTGCTTGCAAGTGACACCTTTGAAACTATATTGTGTTCTGCCTGGCCAGTACAGTTTCATGCAAAATGCAGTACTTTTGAAGCTGGAGAACCAAACGGAGAAGCATTTGCTGAATACGAAGCAGATGTTACTGATTTAAAAAAAGTATTACTTACCTATAAAATATACCACTAACAAACATGGAGATTTGCGGTCCTACTATAGCAACCACTGAAGGCGAAATGAGATTTGATGCAGAAAACACTCCATAAATAATGGCCATGCTACACAAAGAAACAATAAAGATGAGCTGGCATTTAAAATTAAATCTGAGGTGCTGCTAAGCGTAACTGATTATTTTTTAACAAAGACTTTCAAATGATTCCAAACTACTGGAGTGAAATACACCCCTAGGAAAGGTAAATGCATAAGCTTTCTAATCTAGCCACTTTTCCCTTTCTTGTTAGTTGCGTTAATATGTTTCACCTTATTTTAACAAAGGAATATTACTCTGTAGGGACCTCCTGGGAAATAGTGTCCAGTTCCCTGCTATCACATTCAAGCACATCATGCAACTTTGACCATAAATTTATGAAGCCTCATCTTAAAACTAGTTTTGCCTTTTTTTGTCCCCACCCTTCCTTACCAATTTCTGATTCCTCACTTAATTTTAAAACTTCTCATTCAGGACTGTCTACTACCTATTTTTGTTCCTGCTAACATTGTTCTTTGTCTTAAATTATATTGTAATCCATTATGGTAGTAAACAAGCTCCTTATGTGATTGTACAGTCCCTTGCAAGTAGGTCCCTGATCATGATTGGGACTTTGGCTCCTAGGGGAATGCAATAGAAAGAATTGGTTTCCACAGCTCTGCAGTCTTAATTTTCCTCCTGTTTTTCTGACTGTTCTTTCTAAGCATCTCTTGAATGAAATTCCCCCCTGTAAAGTGATCGACACAGGCAGACCCTGTGCTCTGTATGGGCACGTGGAAGCACACAAGAACAAAGGTTGGTAGAACCCTAGCCTTACTGAGCTGCTTCATTTTCAATAATGTTTACATTGTCTTCACAGCCTGGGTTAAAATCAAAGCATATGATTAAGTAATGGCATTTCCCCCTAAATTTCCATACATGTGACTCAATGAAATAGTAAGGGAATCTAAGAGTAAATGAAGGCACTTAAAGTATAACAGCAATAAAACTTTCCTTAAATGTGTTTTAAAGAACAAATACAGCAGAACAATATAATCACTAGAGTATTCATGAAATCTGATAAAGAAAATTGGCTCTGAAAGTAAATAATAAGTAAATTACCTGGTATAGCCACTGCCATGAAAATCTGTGCTGTTTAAATTTGTGATAACTGTTTGCTGTGTGGAAAAAATTACGATATAGAGAAAAATTAATATAGAAAATATGATGTATTTTTAAATATGAAAATTCCTGACACACAGATCAGAGTTAGAACTAATTATTAATAAGTGCTATCAAGAAACTAAAAGCTGTGTGTATTGATATATTAAACTTAATAAAACCCACATGAAGGTTAATATTATACCCACTACATAGTTTGGAAACCTGAATCAAAGCTTGGTCAGACTTAGAAGCAGGGTCAAAACCAGGGTATCAAAATTTTGCCTCCCATTCCCTACTCTTGTTACTCTCGCTCTCTCTCTTGCTCATACTTCCTCAGCTTCAAATGTAGCAGCAAGTCTGTCTTTGTAAACCGCATTGATTAGTTAGCAAATGGAACGAATAAAGAAAAATATGTAAAAGTGTGACCCTGCAAAATTCAATCACCCACTGTAATGTGTACATTTAACCTAGCATGGGGACAAATTCTGGTATTACATTCCTTGTCCATCCGAACAAGTACAGCAGAAAAAAAACATAAGCTATAATAAAAGCAGACACTGCCTTCCTATGTCCTCCCTCTGCTGCCTTGTGTGTGTGAGAGTTTGGACACCAGGCAACTGTAATTTGAATCATGACAACTAAATCTTGATTTCTTCACTTCAAAACAGTTGCTACCATTAAGTGCAACAGATGCTTGGAAGGGGGGGAGCTATGTCTGAAACAATAATTAATACTTTGTGACTCAGCAGTTCCTTTCCTCCACACTCCAAACCTCAAAGCATTTCACAAATGATTAATTAAGCCCTACAAAACTTCTTTAACAGAGAAGGATGTCTAGCTCCATTTACAAAATGGAAATCAAGGCATAGAGAGGCATAAAAGGTGCACGGACATCTGCAGAATTAGGAATTAAACCCTTATTCCCCAAGTCCCTGATCAACCTTCTGCTTTCCTAATACTTTGATAAATTAACTACATAATGTAAAGAAACCTTCTTAAATCTACCAAAAGAAAGTTGTAGGAAAAGAAAGAATCTAAGGCCCATAGCCTGAAAAATGTTTAGATGCCTCCCTGTCACTGAAATCAATTTAAAACAATGACAGTTAGGCTCCTAAGGCAACTTTGAGGATCTGGGCCCAAACATGGTAACAAAAGGATTATAAGAAGCATTGTAGTAAAAGCACAATCTTCTTGCACTGGTATGCTCATTAGTTTTACTTCCAATCTTGCATTAGGGAATAGAGATACAATGGCAGAAAATTATTTACTGAGAAGCAAGGCGACTTAGCAATTCTATCAGCTGTGGCAGGCTGCTTGTAAGATACTATATACATATACTTGTAACATCCAATTTGAAAAGAATGCAAGACTAGGTCTGACTAATTAAAATAAGAGAAAATAGGGACTATGGTTAAGAACAATAGCATCTTGTGGGGATGCTTTGAAGGGATTTATGTAAGAATCTCAGAAACATGTTAAGTTTCAGTTTAACCAAACCTCTGGACAGACAAGTGCCAAAGCAGCTATTATTCTGAAGTTCAAAGTGAAGCCATTTAATAGGACACATTCATAAATAGCCATGCCCTCTTTCATAATGGGACCAATTCACTGCTTTAATCACTACAAGGAACACATTACATATAGTAATGTGTTCCTTGTAGTAAGTACCTATGTAGGCACTGTATAATATAGTCTCTCTCACACGTCGTGAAACCTTTTAGCAAAACAACCCATAGAACTGGGGTGCTAGGAAGAAAGGAGAAATGTTGGGGTAGTGATACAGGTTATATATAGATAGTTGAACTTACCGCAACATTTCCACATGTTTGGAAGGCAGTGAACATAAACATAAAAGCCACTCCTAAAATAATTATGTTAAAAAGCTTTTTCAATTCAGATGACATTTTGTCTTTTCTTCGGAAGTTGTCAGCTACTGCCTGGAAAAGCTCTAGTTTTCTTTTAAAGATCTCTTTTAGGTTCTGCTGAGAAAACAAAGCCATGAAGGAACCCAGAAAAAAGGTTATTTTAAGCCAATTGCTAAGTGGTCAGAAGCATTCATCAAAAAATTAAGGGCTCTAGTGTACTGCAGTAAATATTAAATAAAGCATATAGCAGTAAATAACACTATAAACAATAGGCTAAAGAACTGGTAAGAAAATTAAGATTCTCTCTACCTTCAATATGAAGATAATAGAGCAGACTGTAGTATATTACTTCATGACATTGCTTCCCCCCGAAAGAAGTAGTTTTCCACCACTCAAGCCAGTAAGTCAGCTCACTTTTTGGCCATTGCTCCGAATCAGATTTTGGTCAAAAGTCATTAAATCACCTGACTAAGGAAAGAAAAGATACTCCTATATACAAGTCATTTCCATTCATGCTGGACAGGAAATACAGGCGTTTCACAATTCAGGTCAGCTGATCCAGGCTATAAGAAAACCTATGTGCATTATGGGAAATGCAGTTTCAGTACTTCTCCTCCTTAAACATGGCAAATGTTCAATATTAATAATCTGTTTGCCATTTCCACAAAAAGTATTCAGTAACCACCAGGCAATAACACATCTGCCAAGAAACCAAATCCCTCCAAAATCTCATAAGAACACTGTCTTGGCTTCTGCTTTCTAACATGCAAAAATAATTCAGAAGTAAAAAATGACAATGCTTAGTGTGTCCCCTCCATACAAGCAGAAGAAAAGGAGCTAGTTCATCGCTACTAACCCAGGCACACACTCCCTTTCTGTTTCAGTTCCTGTCACTCACTAATTTACTCCAGAGAGGAAATAAAATGGTTGCCTCTGCAGTTATTCAACATATAGCTTCCTAATGCCTCCAACATACACTAATTAATAGCAATTAAATATATTGACATCGTTATTAAGTTTTGTAAACGTTTTGAAACAGAAGTAACCTGTAAGGGCAGACAATCCTTATCAAAAAAGCAAGCAAAGCAGAAAAAGAAAGTAAAGCAGCCTGCATTACTTGTTTTACTACTACTTTTTATTGCACTTAAAGTGTTTGTATTACAGGAGCATGCCACCATGATTGGGACCTCAGTGTGCTAACCACAGTACAAAGACAGCAGGAAAGAAATTCAGGTCCAATTTAAGGAAATTACAAAACTCAATAATTTCAGTGTCGCCAGTATTTTATGTGTTTCCTGCCAAATGGGTCCTACCCAGAATCTACTACTCCAAAAACAGCCCAAAAGCTGTTATGACTTATTCAGTATTTCAAAGATTTCCAAACTATTTGTTTGCAAAATTGTCCAAGATTTTATTTTTCAAACTTCATTGTTACATAGGGAAGCCAATGGGACTACATACTCCTGTGACTACTGATTTGTATTGGCTTCAAAGCACTGCTTACGTGGAGCAGATGGAAGGATCATTGCCTTGGTTACTGGACTGAGGAAAGACAATCCTCAACCCCTCTTCCATATAATTAACACTTATATTAGATTTCTAGGTGAGACGGCAGGGAGACTCCCTCAGCTGTTTTGATGGATTCATTTTAAAACAGATTTTAATCTCTTTCCTGATATGGAGGATTTTTACAATGCGATTCAGTAGGACATTTATAATCATGCTGCTGCTCTGTGAAACACGTAGCAAAAAGCAATAAAACAGAAGAAACAACGAGAAGCAACACATTTCCTTCCTTTAGATTAGTGTTGCATGACATAAAGTCATACTCCTATTTTATGCCAAAATTACCTCATTACACAAAGTATTTACTTAACAAAATATTGCAATAAGAACAATTAAAATTTCACTAACCACTTTCAAAATCTCACATTCACACCGCCATTACACTTAAAAGAGATCTCTAGAAAAGCAGTCTCTTCTCCTTTTCAACTTATTTTATGTTTATTTAAACAAAGTAGTGTTATCAAGGACACAGTCATACACCTCTTGAATGCTTTGTATAAGAGCTAGGTATTATGATTCTTGTGTGGCTGGTATCATTAAGAAAACAATGCGGCCAAAGTTCCCAGTGTTTCTCTATTGAATAGAGTTAAATGAGAAGTAAAAATTCCAAGTGACAATCTACACCAGCGAAGGTGCTACAGCACCCTGGGGTGCCAGCGAGACCCTTTTAAGGATGTCACAAGATGCCATATAATATTTGCACTTAGTTGGGCCAAACATCTCTACACATGATACACATGATAAACCAGAGGTTTCAAACACAAATCCATAGGGTCACAAACGTTCTGACTGGGATGATCCAAGTTCTTGCAACAGAAAATCACTTTACTATTTTTCCCACAGTCAAAAAGCAAGTAAAAGCTAAGAGATGGCATTTTCTGAGGGGTGCCTTGAGTCTAAGAAGTCTGACAACCACCAGTCAACTCCTACCATTGGTGGGAGCTACTCACTACAACTGGTATGGCCACTTCATAGTACTGGGGCAATGAGAATACAAAATAAAATGGATAGAAATTTTACTTTAGAGCACCGTACAACCTTGCTGAATTGCAGTCATGCTGTCTGGGGCTGTGCGAAATTTCGCCAGCAGTTTCATTTCGACACCGTCTCAAGCTCGAAAGAGCAAAATCAAAATGAAACAGAGCTTCAAAACAGCCTCAAAACGAAAGGAGGCAAGTGGAAATGTTTTGAGAAACAGAAACTAAAGCAAGGCCAGGGAGGGAGAAGAAAGGGGGAGGACTGCTCTCATTACTGACTGTGTAGCTGGCCAGTGATGGTCATGCTTTCCTGGGGTCTCTTCCAATCCCAATGCTCTGGGGGAGGGATGGAAAATCTGCATAAAAGGCAGCACTGTTCGACCTACCCTGCTTTCTGCCTTGGTGTCCACCTTAACACACGCACAGTGTCACCCACCCATGTCACGAGTTTTGCCTGTCAGCAGCTAGAGGCGCAGGGCCCCAGAACCCAGACTCCCCCTGCACCAATCTCCTTGACAGCTGGCAGGCTTTGTGGCCGCAGCAGGGGTTGCAGTTTTCACCCTGCTGTGCGCGCACGCACGCACGCACACACACGAGTTTTGCTTGTCTGCAGCTTGAGGTGCACTTTCCCCCAAACTCCTCTTTGAAAGCTGGCAGGCTTCATTACCTCAGCAGGGGCTAGCAAGCCTGCAGCTTTCACCCTGCTGTGGTTCAACACATACATGTGACATGAGCTTTTTGTTTTCAAGACTTCGAGGTACAGTTTCCCCGAACCCCCTGCACCTATCTCTTTGAAACTTGGCAGGCTCTATGCCCTCAGAAGGGGCTACCATTCCTGCAAGTTTCATCCAAATCAGGCCAGAAATGGCAAAGTTATAGACTGTTTTGAGGCTCCCCGTTATAGCCTAGGGATGAAACATCAAAACAGCCTCAAAACAGCGAAACTGTTTTGACCAAACGGAACAGCAGTTTGGAGCCTAAACGAAATTTGAAACAAAACGCTGTTCTGTCGAAACGCAAGCTGAAACAAACCGGTGCTGTTTCACGCAGCCCTTGCTGTCAGCCTGAGGAACGTGCCCCCCCCCACAGGTACAAGGGCTTTCCCAACGACTGGCCACCAGGACTGAGCGAAACAGCACCGTTTCGTTTCAACTTCTGTTTCGCCGTTTTAATGGGACAGTGTTTCATTTCAAGTTTCATTTCGTTTCAGAAGCACCGTTCTGTTTCATTTTGTCAAAACTGTTTCACTGCTTCCACATTTCTCCCGTAGGCTATAATAGGGAAGCACGAAACTGCCTATAACTTTGTCATTTTTGATGATTTGGATGGAAACAGAAAGGATGGTAGCCCCTCCTGAGGCCACGAAGCCTGCCAGTTTTCAAGGAGATAGGTGCAGGGGTTTCTGAGACACCACACCTCAAGCTGCTGACAAGCAAAACTCGTGACATGGGTGACACTGTGTGCGCGTTAAGGCGCGCCTTCACTGGCACTGGGGCCTCTACACAACATGGTAGGAGGCCCCAATGAGGCCTTCTCCTCCCCTACAGCTTCAGTCCAATCCACCTCTTTAAATGACAACAGGTAATAACTTAGCAGCACAGTAGCACCAGCAGCATCTCAGGCAGCCAAACAGTCAGTCAGCATCAGAGCTGTCCTTCCCCGCTCACCCACCTCCGTCCTTACTTTCCGTTTCCCTGCAGGCAAGACCAGCTTCAGCTTTGAAGCTCAAAAAGTTTTGACTGCTCTCATTTTGTTTCGAGGCTGTTTTGAAGCTCTTCGCTTTGTTTCAAATTTGCCGTTTTGAGCTCAAAACGAGTTGAAATGGAACAGCCGGCAAAAGTTTGCGCAGCCCTAACAGCCACCCACTGCATCCAGAAACCAAGGGAAGCCGCAGCCTGGCCTGGCCAGGTGGGCGCGTGCAGGGGGAATTCGCGTTGCACGACCAGCTCTGCGGGTGCACGATGAGGTCCCCTCCTCCCACAGCATGTTCGCCAGGCAGGACATTCCTCCAAGGGCCTTTGCGCCCTTTTTCTGTGGAGCTTCCACACTCCCACGGGGAGTTTTGCCCACACACAGCAGCCCTGGCAGGGAGGTGGGGGTGCTGGGACACGTGCACCCCCTGCCTCACATGAGCCCTGTGGTCAGGTGAGCCCACGGAGGGGATCCAAGCATCGTACATGACCCTGGGGCCAGGAGGGGCACAGGCAGAAGTGAGGCGGGGATGTTGTCAACTCGCCTCATGTGGCAAATGAGAGGCCCCAACACGTGGCGAGAGGAGAGAACCAACCTGCCCCCTCCTTCGCTTCGATACAGCCCCAGCGGCCGATCAGCCAGCCGGCCCCGCCACACCCACCCTCCCCCGCTGCTC